CACGACAAACTTGCATAAGCTCGATAAATGCATGCATATGTGGACATGCTGACAACGGGGCTTTGGCTGGAGCGAGAAGCGTTACATAAGAATGACCCTGCTTGCTTAGCATATATTGTGTTAACGTTATTTGAATTGAAATGCTGATTTTTGGTAATTGAAAGCGATCTAATTCCAAGTGCAAGACAGACTAGTTACGTATGCACTCATTCTGCTCGTCTGAGACGAGAGCGAGAACCTCTCACGAAATATATTAGGCATTTAGCATGTCATAAAAACCAACTAAAACTGGAAATATCGGGAGACGTCGACTATGAACGTACATCTGTACACACACTGAAAGACAGGACAATGATAATTTCTATTCTTGACTTTTCAGTCTATTGACTGATCTTAATGGCAGTTTGAGCTGATTGAATCCTAATGAGCCTTTCCCTACAATGCAGCAAATAAATCCTTGCGACTCAACCCAGACGACGCACATTTGTTCTCCCTAAAATTTAAATGGATAAAGTCGTAGAACAACGACTTGGAGGTGATTTGGACAAATTCAAGTGAAAATTTTGCATTTAAATTACTATAGCGGCTGAAATAACTGATACTGTGCTCACACACGCAGCAGCAGCCAAGGGAAATGCAACATGTTGTAGTAACAATTTATATTTATGGAAATTTCTGCTCTTCTGAATTCTACTACCAAGACTTTGTTTCTTGTAACAAACATTCGTTTCGTCCACCAGTCGAAAATCCTCCTCATATTTTATCCTTCACCATTTCAAGCCTTGCAGAACACTTTGACAAGAAAGGGACAAGAAATTCAAGAAAATTTGTTCTGAACCATCTTCCAGTTTATTTTTTGAGGTACACATCCAAATCCTGCGTCGTTAAGTTAAAAACGGAGGAAACTATTTTAACCCACTCATGCAATTTAGACTCCCTTTCTCTTCATTAAAAGTGTTGTTGTGTTTGAGGTACAAATCTGGCTTGACTATTTGTACACAGACATATTTAGTGACACACTACTGGGTGCTGTCATGTTAGCCAAAATGTGCAGTCGACTCGCTTAATGTTCCCAACCGGATTTAACTGGATTATTCTGGCAAAATTATCCAACACTTTATTTCTCTAACTGATTTAAATCCCTGCTTTTTCACTTAAAATTATAGACTTGGTGGTTAACTCTGAGATAACTATTGTTATTTCCAAGGGTTCTAAGAGATCTGTAGCCACCCAGCATCAGAAAAGATTAAAAAGTATGTTTAGCCAGTGCAATTGTTATGCATTAAAGTGAAACAATGTTACGGAAAATGCACAAAAATTGTAAACCGAGCATGTGTCGAGTATCAACAACAACAATCATTTAGAGAAGCAAAGAGGCGAAAAAATAATTTGGGGTTGATCACCATCAAACTACATGCATACGTCTGCCTTGGGTTGACTGGGGATGAGAGTTTGTGGTTATGATTAGACTGACTTTGCATGACATTTACTTATCTGACTGAAATTGTGATAGCAGGAGCAGTCAGCACATATTTGGAATATTATTATTATTACACCATCATTAAATTCACTCGAAGTGATAATCTCAAAATGCAGTATTAGGGAAATCCTTCAAACGTCATCCCAAATGCTTTAACGGCCAGGTCAAATTGTATTTGACGCCTATAGCCATGACCGAAATTATGAAAATTAAACCCATTTTATTCTGCGGCATGTTTACTACTATCCATATGCAGGCAGGGAGGCATGTGTGTGTAGCGTGGTAGGTGATGATGAGACACTAGTACGAACGAAAACCAAGAAAATTGGAGCAGCTACAACGAGCAACGGGAACTTTAACATAAATTGACAGCTAAATTTACAACCAGTAATAAATTTAGAGTTAAAAGGGTCACATTATTGATATGGTTGATAGGTTATTGGTGGAGAGTAGGTATTTTATGCTGTTATTATTAGTCTCATTTTCCCCTCATTCCAGGAAGCACACGACTGTGTGGATGGAGGATCAAGCAAGGTTTCGCCTTGGGGAGGCTGACGCTGAGTGGTCGTATTGAATGAGTTTACTTCCGGTTTGTAATTTGTAAATCATTGGTTCGTTCATTTGTGGATCGCCTAAACGCATCCTCACGTCATATCAAAGTCAAACGAACTCCTGTCTGCACCCAACAGGCCTAATTAAATTAACCCTTTGGATTGAGCATATTGGAAATTCCAGCTTTGCCGTCACTCTTCTCCCTGCATGTTCCACACTTTCGCTATCTCTCTCTGCCTTGCAAATATTAGGAGAGGAATGCACTTCAAAATTGGAAATTTGAAAATTGCAAATCCGAAATTGCACTCGACTGGAGAGAGGACCGGCTGCTGCTGCCGGTTGACGTGCACCATAAGGTTTTCAGGACTTGGGGTGAGAGATATGGTGAAGGTGACGTTGATTGAGGCCAAACTAAATTCGACCACTTTACATTAAACAACTGAACAAAGTTTGAGTTCATTTCAAAATTCACTCTGAAATTGAAAGTGCAGAGACTCAACTTGCTGAAATTCATGTAACTTCAAAGGCCTCCAGTGGACTTATCCAGTGGATGCAACTGACAGTCAAGTGCTGCGGCCTTATCAAATTCTGCAACGAGTTTTATACATGGCCAAACTTTCTGGTCGTTATGCTCTGATCCACGGGGGCGGCTGCTTTGGGTTGCTTTCAGACGTGAATTTCCAAAAGAGGATTTTGAACTTTGGACAAGAAATTGCAAATTGTACTTGTATTCTATAACCTTTGAGAGACAAAGCATGGAGCACTTGAGACAAAAATTGCAATTCCTCTGGGACCATGAAACCCAGAGTCGTTCTTTTCCCATTTGACTCCTAGTTTTTTATTACATCATCATGACCCATTTCGCAAACTTGTCAAACGGTTCACTTTCATTTTGAGCATATGCTTGCTTCCCTTCTCCTCTCCATTTGTTGACCTAACAAGAACTTTGACGAGGGGCTTGATGATTATGAGCAGATTATGCCACACATGTGTAAATGACTGTGCATAATATGACTTTTTGTGGTTGGCTGGATAAATGCATGGTTAACTAGAACGAAACTATGCTTTTCCTTGAACTACTAAACAAAAAACCTCCAGCATGGAGAAAATTGTTACTGGAAAGATCAAAATTTAAAGCAAGAGCGACGAGGCTGGTTGAGACAACTTTAAGCAACATCCATCCTTCGTTTCCATACTGTGAAAACTGACACAGAACAAAACTTTTGTCTTTCTGGTATGTTCCTGCACACGCCATAAAATTTAAACCGTGTTGTCAGGTGAAAACAGGCCTTGGAGAAAGTAATAAAGTCTTGATTAGCCATTAGTCTGAAAAATATAAATATTTGTAACATAACATGAATCCGTCGTTGTATAGCGTCACTGGGTTTTATTCAAATCTCAAATTCCCGTAAATCTCTGAAGTGATTCGTTTGATTGGTAGTTTTGAGAGAAAATGGCAATAAATTGACAGAGCATCAGCATCACCATCGTTATCCCGATGTACATATTTCCAGGTAGTCGTATCAGATTCATGGTCCGCTTCCAGCAGATATCACTCACTCAGGCACTCAACCGTCCCATTATTTCATTTGATTATTATTGCCTGACTCTCTCTCTGTCTCAATGTCTGCTTCTGCTGCTGCTGTATGGGCCTTGTTGCCATTTTATTATTGCCATTGTGCAGCATGGGTTTATTGCAGGAAGTGTCACATTATCAAAAGGAGAAGAAAACGGAAACGAATACCATTCAACCTCATAAAAGGGCATTATTGAGTTGGAGAGACTCTGTGTCACTCAAATTCAAATCAGAACTCATCTTCAATAATCAACTGTCAACTTGAAAATTTGGCTTTTAAGCCTTCAAAGGTTGACAGTGCGTCGTCATCATATTTATGACGGATATAAAACGGCATTACAAAACGATGCACAGTATGGTTCACTTATTTACTTCCCGATGGTTGACTACACGTCTGCCCCACGAACCACACACAGGATTGCATTGTGCCAGCCAAAGGCGAAGGAACAATGCTGCGACACTCGTAAAATAAGCGAAAGTCTCGAGTGAAGATGCGGAAGAGCATCATGTGACGATGATCATCGCGATGTGATAGTGAGACGAATGTTAGAAGAAGCAAAACAAACGCAGCCTTGGCTTCATTACATATTTGCACGCTGTTACGACAACGATATTGCTGATTGCGGGCCAATCCATGTATTTATTTGGCCAAGTAGGTGCCCACCACACTCTCACCATTAAAGTGCATTATTAGATGCACAGCCAGTGGTGGTGGTGGTGGTGATTATTATTGTTGTAATAACTCGGGATGATGCATGCCATATCCTATCTTGCACTTGCATAACGGAAGAATATTAGCGATTTCACTCTGTGTGAAATTACGAGATGATGATGGTGATGATGGTTGTTAGGCCAGTCTCTCTCTCTGATCAATACAAAGTCCACTCAAAAGTAAGTAGGCTGAAGAATTCATCTTTCCATGGGCAATACCTCAACATTTTAAGTCTGCTCCTTACTTAATGGGTTATGCAATGCTGTCGTCAGTCCTCGTCGTCGACGTCGTGTTGCTATCCCGTTTGGCAGACAGGTATTATATATCCCACAGCAGTCAGCCAGCCAGCAAGTGGGTACATACGTACGTAAGGGAATGGAATGTTGTTGCATGATAGCGACCGACCCAATTTCCTTCTGTTTTTCCTTTAATGAATCGAATTGAAGGAAGGAAAGCTACAAATTTATTGCTATGAATAATAACAAAATGCTGACAAAAAGTCTCGCCGAGAGTGAATGCGGTGTATTTTTGTTGGTGGACTATGCTTCTATTATGTATTTACTTATGATGCATTATTATGAGCTCATAGACAAGTTTAGTCCTATGAGAAATGTATGTATGTATGTATGTATGTATTCACGTTCTGGGGCAAAATGGGATGTAAATGAGGGAACAAATGATTTTTGTAGATTAAATATCAATGTCAGAAACCGACATATGTTTTATTTAAACGTTATTCAATGTAATTTATTGCATTAATTGCGCACTGTCTTACGCTGAAACACAAACTTTCTTGAAACTGAAATCTTTCAAACATTATAACTTACTTGTAACCCAATACATCAAAAACTATGGTTTGTAATAATCATCTTAACGTCTACAATTAATTACGTCTCCCTTTTCTTCTTTTACTGCTGCTGCAAAGACATGCAGCAAGTTTTCATAACTTATACTACCAATAAGAATAATAAGGGTACACTAAACGACAGTATATTATTAATAATATTATTATTTTATCATATCCAAAAGTATGTTACCTAATTTTAAATATATCATAGTTAAATGTCGTATTGAAAAAAAATGTGAGTCTATAAAAATACTTTTTAATCGGTCTTATACTCTCATTTCAGTCCTTAACAGGCTACTGTAACCTATTACCTTAACAAAGATAAATATCAGTAATTACAATTACACACTGCTCATATGTATATAATTATAATTACCTAAACACTTACAGTACTTACAGGAAAAAGTCGCTTTGACCTATGTAATAGCTGGAGAAAGGAGGAGGAGGAGGAGGAGGAGGAGGAGGAAATGAGGAAGTGATGTACTGTTTCTTACCCCCTCATACACATACATTTTTCTGAATTGTTAGTTGTTGTGTTGGTAGATGTTTCTGTATTGTGATTTCTATTTAACAATTAAGTCAGAGACAATGACACGCGGCCTCCATGGCCGTGGCCCCCTCGCAACTCGTCGCCATCATTACGGGCTCACCCAACAGCAGGGATGTGTTACAGCTCAAGGGTGTTGCTTCTGGATTTGAAGGGTTGGTGGAAACTGGAGGAAGCTCTTGTCCAGGATTCGAACCACTTTCGAGGTTATTCTGACCTTCACCCCCCAAGTGACGGGGGACCGTGCTTGCAGAAGAAGACGGGGAATGCGACGGAGAGACAGAGGGGGATGGAGATGGACTCGGACCTTGAGGAGAGTCCAAGGGAGCTGTCATCCATGCATGGTTCAAAATATCCTCCAGGGTGGGACGCGACTGGGGTCGGAGTCGGAGACATTGACGGATTAGCTCTTGGCATTCTGCATAAGGAAAAAATAATTCGTACATTAGTCAGTTGTCTCAAAGTGCCCCAATGCGAATTGTAGTAGCATAGCGTGGTCCAATGTTACATGCATTTAATCATTAAAGTTTATTTTCTTTTACCAACCCCTCATCACTCCCACTCATTCGCTCATTTAAGAGTCAATTGCATCATTTTTCGAGAGATGAGGCGAAACATTTACTCTATCGAGAGTGATACTAATGCAATTAGCCAAGTTTAGTCAAGTGAAGTCTGAAACCAGTTGGGGTTTTGTACTCTCTACCCTCATCTTTAAAATGTCAACTCTGTATTGTAAAAATGTGCAGCGTTACAACTTGAAAAACTAAACGTGTCTGCACTTTAGAAAAACCCGAATTATTCTGCTACATAATCTCATCAGGAGAAACACTTAAAAACGGGAGAAAGAGAGAGAGAGAGAGAAACAGACAGAACAAATTCTGAAGGAGGATAATTGACTATTACCAATTGGGAATGGGTCTGCTCTATAAATAGCACAACTGACTCTTTCGACTCTGACAATTTGACACTCTAATGCCAACAAATATATCTGCAGCAGTAATGAACTGAAGCACTGGAGTGCCAAGCCCATGTTTTAAGTCCCTAATCTCTAAAATGCCAGACAATGTCGGGGCTGAAAGGCTCTACAATTCCTCTCTTTTTTTACAAACAAGTGGACCACGTGCCAATACATGTAGATATGTCTGGATGTAATGTATGCTTACCGTGAGTGAGACGGGTTCGAAAGCTGATTTCAGCCCGGAGAATTTGCTCATCTCGTTCAAAGGGAATGTCTCCGCACACCATGTCGTACAGCAGGATTCCCAAAGACCATACGGTTGCAGACTTGCCATAATACTTTCCATAACGGATCCACTCTGGTGGAGCGTACACTCGGGTTCCTAAAAAAAGAAAACAATTATTGCAACAATCCAACAAATATTTCATGTATTTACTGGCAACACGACTGGTCAAACACACTGCAACTGGTTATCGTTACATTGTAAATCTTAAATTCTTGCAAGTTGTATTGCCCTTGTAATAAGGTCGAGATAAAGTTGAGCAGGTCTGGTGGAGGTGACCGAGTTTCAAGCAACATAAAATGTAGGCATGGTTTAGCATATGATTTTGAGATTTCAAGAATGAATCTCGCCTCAAGGGTGAGCAACAAAAGATCCAACAAGACGGTTGTTCTCAAAGGGAGTGCTGGACAAAAGGCCTTCCGTTCTGACACGGGTAAGGTAAATAATAAATTGGTAGCCTTACATCAAAAGAAATCATTGAACAAGGAAAATTGAAAAAAATGAATTTCAAAGAAAATTGGAGACCCTTTTGCCAACTACGAGAAGCCACCCTTGAAGGGAAGGAAGGGTCTCAGAATGAGCAGCTATTCATCCAATGGAATTCCATTCCTTGTCGGTCGGTACCTTCTTCTTCATCATCTGCTCCGCTTTAAAATGGACCCCCAAGAACAAGACCTTATTCCCTCACCTTCCCTCACCTTGCCGACGAGACGACCTTCCCTCGAAATTCTATGAAACTCAAAGTCCGCACTCTAAACCTCTGCTATTTAACTAACCATTTATGATTTAACAATCCTAAAATTCCAATAGTCTGGCTCCAGACGACTTTCCAGTTAGATCATCATCAGCTACTTTACAATGCCAAAGTGACAGCACCTTTTCCGTTTTCTCTCTCTCTCTCTCTCTCCACTTGAAATCGTAATAACCATCCGAATTGGAAATTTGGTTCAAAATCTCAAAATTGTTTTCTTTTGTGGCATGGAATTCACAAGAGAGGAGAGGAAAATACAGTGGTGTAAAAGTATTTGGTTCACTCTCTCGTCATGCAATGCATCGCCAGAGGAAGAAGAAGAACCACCACCAAGCAGCAGGTTGTTATAGATGTGGCCTCACAATAATAGTACTTGATTAAAGGTATTGCTGCAATGTGGCAAAAAGTGAACCGTTAAAATCTGGCCGTGCCGACACACGTTAAAACACGGATGACCTGAATTCCTCAAGTCGGATAATCTGACAATGGACTAAACGGCCATTCCCACACTTTAGAGTCACCCCATTAGCATAACCGCCAGTCAGTCGTCAGCATGCATTGCTTCAGACCAATTGATAACCACTTATCGAAATATATGCTTCGTTTCTATATATTGCCAAATCAGCAGCATTCTCTTATCTTGTATAAATATTTGAAAAGGTGTGTAAATACAGCGAAATGTGCGATTCCAGGTAGGTGGTGATCGCAATCCCACGGCCTATGAGCACTGCACTAACATCACACGTTCATTCATTATATTAAGCAAAGTCTGCCATTGATAATTGTTTGACATGAAGATATGCAAAATTTGTACACATTACTTTTTTTTTTACTACCCGCATTGTTTAATACAACTTTTTTCCCCTACGTAATGGATGACAAACATTGCGAAATTGTGGATTTTTTTAACATGTCGTCATGTGCCCCTCATACGATCCCTTCAGTGGTGTTAGTATACCAAGTATAATCTAATCTTTGGTATGCTGTCTCATTTATAAATGTCCGACCTCGACCTCAACCTCCAACAAAGAATATGTGTTCGTACTTCTTGGTAGTCGGCACCATAAAGAATCATGCCATGAACAAGGAAACGATTACAAAATAATCCAATGCTTTTGATTTTTGAGGGTTCCCAACAAATTTTCGCAGGAGAAGGGGTGCGCATCGGTGAGGGGGAATTTTCAAGTCTCTGGAGAATAGAAATGAGAAAATTGGGAATTACCAGTTTTAAGGGACAAGGAGGAGGAGGAGGAGGGAGAAGTTGGAAAACTGGTGGCGTGATGAGCCCGAATTTCAAATTATTAGACATTGACACGCGGATCACGACTTTCTCTCGGAGTGAATTTTTCTCTACAAAAAAACCATTATTCCAACCATCGTTTTCCAATTTCTGTCTCTAATCTCCCAATTTCCAAGAGAGAAAATAAAGTATAGAAAAATTGGAAACCTGTTCAAAACATACTTTTCTCTCACTTCATACATACAACTTGTTTGATGGAAAGAGGGAAGGGAAAGGGAGACGGAATTAAGAGGAACAATATAAACTACTGAGAGAACCAACAACCATGTTCGAGTTTCTCCTGTGTCCTCTTTAGGAAGAAATCCTCCAATTTTCTTTACCATTGTCATGTTAATGCTAATTATTATTGTACACTGACTTCTGACAAGAACTTTCACCACCACAAAACCACTCATATAACTTGTTTAGCTCATCCTGACAAAGTTTTTATTTCGTGAAAAACTTGCTTAAGATCAAGTGATGATGGCAGCGAGAGCTTTCAAAAACAGAGAAAACTCTGCAAACTACTTGTAACCATATTTTCAACTTCATCAAGTTTAACACAAGTTAGTTAACTTGTGCTCTTTCGCCCGTCCCTTGATTAAAATATGGTTGTGAGGTCAGAGCAATTGCAACTTTGCACTTTTGCAGCGTTGAATTGATTACTTAGCATAAAGAAAATGCCAGCTTAACTTATTGCATCGTGGGAAAGTTGTGAAATATGAACAAGAAGAAGGAGAGAGACATCAAAGAAGTTGTGCTGGGTGGTTGCTTATATAATCATAAATAAATAATTCTTAATTCTTTCCTTCTTTTGCACGTGTTCCACGTGAATACTGCATGCTGCGTTCCATTAGGTTGCTGCTGCTCAGGGTGGTATGCACTAATAAAGAACTACCCAAGCAGTGGGCAAGCCAAGAAGAAGAAGTGATTATAAAATAGAGGAACTGGACTGAACTGATACAATTGGTTCTTGGATCGTTAAGATTTTGCGAGTTGAACAGAGTGCATCAAACCAGCCAACCGTCAATACTGGACTCGATGCCACAAAAAATTGCACGCTCAACGTAAAACTAGGAGTCAAGGTCGGTTGTATGGAATACAACGTCCACAAGCATGCAAAAGTAGTTGTAGCAGCGTGAGGTTCGTTGTTGGTTAGTGATTAGGTAGGGTGGCAGTGGTGGTGGTGGTGGTCATTGTATTAAGTGAGAACTACGTTGCAGGTCGGGGTTGCAAATCTCACTCATTCTTTCTTCTTATTAGGTAATCATTTGCCAGATCTTTCGGGGATTTGAACTCGACCACCACCACCTGCATGAACTCGAACGTAACCTCATCCATTTCATTCATAAACTCATTAACACACCATGTAGTGATAATTAGCTAATTAATTCGTTAATTTCGTTCCCCACTCCAGAACGGATTTCCTGTAGGGGCCCATCAGGATAATCATTTAAAAAAAACAAGGCAAGCAAATTTGCGGTTTCTCTCTGGTCCAACAAAGGCATATAAAAAATAAGTATCAATATTGGAACGAGATAACATGCCTCGGTTTGTTCACAGTGAGCTTGGCTATCATGCTGCGGTCGTCTTTGCGGGATCTTTTCAGCAAAGACCAAAAGCTAATAGGACATTAATAAATGACATTCGCAGCCTCAGTCCCAGACTAATAAGTTTGTCTGGTTTTGGATTTTTGGATATAGAGAAAGCTTGCCCAGTATGAGGCGAAAAGGATCGCGGCGATCGACCACGGCGTGGAATCGGGTTCGTCGACACCCTCGCACAATCTGTCTGACTTGGGCCTCTTATGTCATTCATAGTATGAATTTCATACTGCCATAAAACCACTAAAATACAAATGCGAGGTCGCTCAACTAAACTTTTCTTTACATTTCCATACACACAGCAAACCTTCCGAACCAAAAATCGCAACTGGACGTGAAATGAATATTGATTATCTTTTTGTCCACCTGCTTATCACTGCTTTACTACCTCAACCCACTCCACTGTAATAACTACACCACTCTCTTGCAGCAGTCTGGCATGCAATTGAATTTCAACAATTTCCCAAAGAAAAACCCGAGACTGTGAGTGAGTGCATAATAGTGACAGCCGTCGTAGTTTTATAGGTGGGTTAAGGTAGGGAAGGGATTTTTCTCATCCGCCCATTAAAAATTATACCTGCAGCTGCATTCCTTTTGGCCAACTTTTTTGTGCCAAAGTCTTACTGCGCATCTTTATTTTACTAGCGTGGACTAGGTTCCGATAAAAAGTGCAATCCCAAAAATCCTAATCTAATCCAACCAGAGAAGCACGGAGCGATCAAGAGCTAAGCATACTAAGAAAGAGATGAGAAGGAAGGTCGTTGCGCTGGGCCAGGAGACGACCTTGTGCATAAAGAAACATATTACATTACTTTTTGCAACAACTGGAAGAGATGCCAGAATAAATGATGACGAGTAAAAGTATAGCGAATCGTCCATAATGTTGATTTAGTTAGTTGCCTACCTGTTACCAGCAGAAGGGAAAAAGTTGTCGCTGATGCTACTGCCTGAATTCAGCCAACTTTTACTATGTATCCAACTCCACATAGATACTAACTAGCCACTACTGCTTTGCAGAGTTCAAATTCTTCTTGAGACGAGATTGTAACAGGTGAATAAATTATCAGAAAACAGGATACTTAAGCAACTGGACGATGCTCAACACTAAACCAACCAGACAGTGGCGAACCAGACAGTTTTATTGCTGCAACAACTAGCCAGGCATCCACATGCACACAATTTCAATCTGAAACCTCCATCTCAAAGGCAACGAACTGTTTACATTACAATAATTTAATGAACAAAGCAAAGGTACGATTCCCCAATTAATATGCAAGCCTTGGCAGTGGTTTTACGGAATAATAATAAGTCTCAATCTTTTTTTTGCTTTATGTGTTCTTAATTTGTTCCACACCCACTGGGTTCGTTGTAGGAAATCTACAAGGACATTTGGGTTACAAAAAAGTTCATCGATTTCTACTTATTATACATACTCACAGATTCCAACTGCTACTGCTGTTACTATGCTAAAATGAGACAACGTAGTAATCGTCTTCTTCTCAATATTTAATATTTTGCAGTTACATCTTGACCTTCAGCTCGGCTAGTTCCAACACATGCCCCATTTACCAGCATAACAGATTTGTTCTACTTTATATTCAATGACAATATTTACGAGAGGGACTTTGAACAGTTACACAATACAAACACACAACAGGAAGTTACAATGAACGAAGTTTCAACTTGTGAGATAGATGACCATCTGCCTGATGGACAACACTTTTACTCATCGTCGTGATACTTTGATACGTATAAAATTTATATATGAATGAGACAAGACGACCAAGACGAGCCTCTCATTTTATGGCTCAAAGACTTCTCTCACTCACTCCCCTGATATTAAAATGGTCTTTTCTTTATTGATTCTGCCCTGATTGTGATGCCAACCAATTTCAGCTCTGAACTTTGGAACCTTTACACATCCTTGGATACATAAATTTACAAAGTTGCGTATATTATCATTATTAGGTCAAAGGGTGAAAATATCATAATTAAGTACATCAAAAAAATTTTAAGGATAATTTATGAAATCTCTAAAATTTATGATTATTTTTGGCAACAAAGATTCCAAATTTATGCCTTTTCTCTTCCTCAAACTGCAATTATCTAAAACTAGCAATTTATTATAACTCCCTACATTTTTATCAAAGTTTAAAGGCGAAACAACCTTCGACTTTGAATTAACTGCTACGCCACCATCCCACCACCAGCCAACACGTATTATTGATATCAGAAAAATGGAGAGAGGAATACCGTGCATTGCATATGCATACCTCACATCGCACTGTAATGATTGGATATAAAACGGCCTTCGACACTCCGTAGTACAGATGCACAGATATACACACACAGATGCAACACACTGTAATGTAAACGAACAAAAATTGCAGAATATGAACAAAGACGACCCTGAATTAATCATGACATGGCATAGCTCTTAAAAAGTTTGATTCTCTTCCTATTTGTACAACCAACCCACGATTGTCAAGAATTGTTGTGCATTAATGCATCTCCCAAAATCAATCTTTTCCATTTTTTTAGCCAAATTTTAAACCTGCAAATTATTTAACTCCCATTCTAAAAATCCAGCGCATTATAATTTTGAATTAATTATTTTTGCATAAAACAAACGCAAATAACAAAGAGCACTCGAGAGCAAATATTTATTTATCATTGCTACAGCAAATTTAACCCACGTGACATGCAGATGCACAATTCAACCATTATGTATTCATTCATTCATTCACTCATCGTAAGCTTATAAACTTCAAGTTGAACAAAGTCAACGGCTCATTAATGATTTCATTTAATTCATTCTCAAACAGAGGAAACTCAATCTCGATAAAATATGATATATAAATATACAAGCAAGGTAAATCCTCACATTCGTCCATGCATGAGTGAAATTCATATAAAGTTATCAGACCGAAGGCAACTCTCAGCACAAAAAATGCACAGTAAACTGGAATTCATCAAATTAATGAATTAATTTAGTTGTACAAAGTGCAGACAGCACAAATTTTAATCCAGAGTGCGAAACTCCAACTGATGAACTTTGCTCTAGAAATATAACCTTCTTTTCCGTTCGTTGGCCAGCGTCAATATCATCACAAGTAATTCTAATGAGTTTGAACAGAGATTTGGGCACTAAATAAAAACGAAGCAGGAAAACTACTAGGCAGTTGGTGTTGCCGTCACTTGTTGCATAGGTACACACACAGGGCAAACGTTGCAATCGAGAGGAATTGCGTCGTTGTTGTTTAGATTTCACCTCTATCAAGTGTGGGAAAGGCGCAACGTGCTCTCGTGTTTGGTAATAAGCTTTTGTGCAAGGTAACCAACCTTGCGTGGCTGGTGATGGAACACGGGAATCCTTTTGGACACAAACAAGGGAAAGATACCATCAAATTGCATTGCAATTGCGAGCCGAGAGAGAGAGAAAAGTGAATAGGGAACATTGGAATTAAAATTAAATTTAAAGGCCAAGCTGATGTTTGCCCAAATTCCTTTGGCTTATCCGTCTTCTTCGTATTTACCTGGTTTGGGTATTTAGGGAGAAAAGCTTTCGAGTAGGAAGTACCTCTCACATGTGCGCATTACTCTGATGGGATAATCCTTGGCAAGACGTAAAATACTTGTCATTTCCACCGTCTGAAGGATTTGAGATCTTTAAAAGAAATTTCCCACATAATGCCATTATGAAGTATTATATTGCTGATGCAACTAATAAAAATTCTTTTGGTCTGAATCTGACCACCAGATAGCATCGCATCGCAGAGAGGAGAATGTAATAAGTAAGGAGTTGTGAATGAAGTGTCCCGTCAACCAATCGAGAGCTGTATAGTACGTGTTTTTAAAGAGTAGAAAGCTGAGGTTGACTTGGCTTACTTGAATGCTGACTGCATCGAATAATAAATAAAATAACTGCACTCTTCAACAATCTCTAGAGCTAGGTTAGTCTTCTGCGTCGTATTATGACCTCAATAAGATCAGACGTTCAACCAACCATCAGCTAAACAATCGTTGGAACGGTACCCACCACCATCACCACCAAGTGAGGTAAGGTAAGTATTTCCCACTACTACGCCAACCAACAGCAGCAGCAACATTAGCAAGGTGTGTAAGAGTATTAAAGATAGCAACACATAGCATAACCAGCTGCAGCAACAATGCCATCCGTTTACTTCGTGATGTTGCCAATGGGCAAAAGGGAGTAGAAAAGTGAATGCGCCTCGCATTTACCCCCCTCGTCCCCCCAATAAAGCTTTAAATCTTCAATGTGCATCGACTCTTGGCTACCTGTCCAAAGTCTAACCAACTCACTCTCTCACATTGGTGCATTGTGGTGCATGATGATGGCAACAAAACTAGAAGAATCTACAAACGCCTCACAAATGCCAAAACTCTCGAATAACTGTTTCTCACTTGCCGTGCTGCCTTATGCCTATAAAATCACCACCACCACACATTCCTCCTGAATGTTAAGGTAAGGCTGCAAGTGTTGCACAAGGGAACCGCAGAATCAAAACAAGAAAATTAAAACCAACGCCACACTCACTCGCACATTAATAGAATAGCTCATCTCTCACAACAAGAAACAATTTTTTTAAACTATAAAACTAGCATCGTTATTGTCCCAACGAAAGAAAAAAACTATAAAGAATTTGATAATATTTTGATTTGCAACAGCAGCAGTAGAAGCACTGCAATAATGAGGAATAGCCGTTGTTGAGAGTGGAAAATATTTTTTGTTTGATGACGTCCATGTCTCGTATTAGAGCAAAAAATCCTTTCTAAATTCTTTCCTTGATTCGTAGTTATCTACGTTACGTGCCGTCTTCCATCCACAAACTACCATCCACTTCTTCGAGTCGTCCTAACGAGATGAATTACATGAAATTGTTCCTACAAGTAGCTACCACGGAGAAAAATTACAAATTAGTGGGGAATTTCGTATAGCTGCTGCAATTAAAAATCTATTTACCACTTTCCACCACTGCATTATAAAAAAATGCGAAGGCAGCATCGAATTTTTAACTAGTTTTGCACTCCATTTGCATACCAAATGTACAATGCAGGGATATTATTGAGCACAAGGAGCAGTATTATTATTTTTGCAGTAGTCAGTAGTGGATGGATAAGTGCATTCAAACAACCAACCGACAATAATTCTTGCATGAATTTCACAGAATCCTCCACACACAGCTCCTTCTAATCCTTAAATTCCTCTGCTTTTACTCATATTAGTGTAAAAGACTTCCTTGCTAGTTAACTGATAACACTCGTGGTTGGCACTGGTCAAACAGCCAGAACATGAAGAGGGTCTCCACTCGGAAAACCTGATTATCTTAATTGCACACAATACCCTCTATCGTTTTAGAAATGTGGCAAAAAAAGCGAGTAAAGGGAGTTTTTTTTATATACTTTATTTAAAAATGCAACCATACACACTGGCTCAAGTTGCTAGAGCGAGTTTTAAGAAAGTGGAGTTGACCTCTTGTAACCTGCTGCAGCTACTCTTGCATGCCTTTGGTTTTAGGATAAAACAATATGACAGTAGTACTGCAACTCTGCTGCTGCTATTCTCACTGCATGCTCAAGAATTCAAGCATTTATTCATTCAACCTTTTCTCATCAGCTTCACTTACTGCATTTTATTTTATTGATCGTGCAATTCCAACTAATTTCGAATTCATATCATTATTTTTCCCTCTTTACTTAGACAACAACCTGCTTCTGCTTCCTTTAGACGCCACTTTACGTGCTTTTGCCCTCTCATCATGCAATTTTCTTTTCCCTTTAATAACTCACTGCTTTATTTGAATAGTTCCTTCAACATACATTCCTGCACCACCACCACCGTCGCCTATTTACCAGCTCATTTGTATCATCGTCGTCTTTACATTTGTTGGGGCTGAATAGTCTGTTATTTGATCTGCATTGTTTGAAAACAGCAAATATTTGAGGACCTGCCTCAACTCAGACTTTATAGATGATGGGTAGTAAAGTCAGAAATTATTAGCAATTAAATGCACCTGAAGGAAACTAGGACATGGTGAGCTGACAATAAATAGTGTGTTGCATTGTAATTGTAATCAAGAACCTTGTTGATGATGATATATGTGATGCGATATTCGTTACGCTGCATTAAATCTCAACTTGCAATTTGCATTCGCCTTGCTATTGACCATACGTTAAAAGTTTACCTTCTACACTTTCCAATTCATTTCTTGTCTCATTCTTCGACTGTTATGCAATGCAACGCGATAATTCTCAGAAGCAGTGTGTCTGACCTTCTCACATCTGAGTAAGTCAATTATGAAAGGCAAAACTTACCGTCAAAATCCGTGTACAAGTTGTCTCGAAGGATGGCACCTGAACCAAAGTCGATCAGCTTGACGCTGTGAGATTTCGCATCTACGAGAATGTTTTCATCCTGTAAACAAAAATATACAAAATATTATAATTGCCCAGTATTAAATAAATCATTACGGAATAAGTAAGCGGTACGCGGGCAGGTTACGTGACACATTTTGGGAATACATATTTCAATTGTTTGTTTGTTTGTTTGTTAGATAACTAACATTAAATTAAATCGAGAAACTAGCGTCACAAACAAAAACAGCTACCATTATCCTAAGCATCTATTACTTGGAAAAACATAACGTTTTAACTTTGCATAAATTGCGATGTGTGGTATATAACAGGGCTGCGATGACACAAAAACAAAGTCAAGCACGTACCAATAACACAAAGTCAAAAGTACATGTTCCATCTCAGCGTTGCAAATCATCATCAGCATCAGACGAAAGTAGTTTCGTCATCGTAATACCGTCATCTTCCATAATAATATTCCCAGCTGTTTGTTTACACTAGTCACATTACGTTTATTTATTTCTGCATAGCCGACCTCCACTCTGAGTCAACGTTTTCCTAGCTACTACGTACAACATGGCGGGGTGACCTTGTGAAAAGCAGTGGCCAAACACCAGGCAAGGGTCGATACAGCCTTGACCAAAGGGGCGATTTATTATAGTGTACTTCCTAAAACTGTGCATGTATAAAGTTTTGCCTGAAACGAGATTTTTGTACCAAATTTAGCCTGAATCTGTAACATATGGGGTAAAGGGGAAAAGAACAGCGACTAATAAATGGTGTTAAGCAAGAATTGGCATGAACACGCTACGTACTACGACGACACAATGTAACAAAAAGGAGGAGTATCGACATTAGAAACGTAAGAGAGCGAAATGAGGACATAACCTACTTTGCACATGATGCAAGCTTCTAGTTTAGGTTGAGTTTTGCCATTCCTCGCTCGCTCCTCCATCCAACCACCACGCTATGTATAACTGTACAGTTTTGCATGCATTCCTTATACTCACTCAGTCACTGCCTCCAACATTCCTTTCCTCTTAATTCCTATGAATACTCATCTATTACCATTATCAATTTCCCATTAGCTAACTTTTCCACCAAGAATGAGAAGCCTCATGCAAGTCTCAGGATGGCTGATATGCAGGTAAGGATCCTACATACTTATGTACGTCGCGTCCTTCTATACTTTCATTGTGATGGCGACTAGGTTGAGGCCACTCTATCCTAATTTAGTACGAGTCGCTATTCATTAATTTGTTCAAACGATTCTTGCTTAATCCCCAGTTTACTTCTTTAAGAAATGTCTATCTGCTTGACAACCGCAGCGGTTCGCTGCTCCCGTGAACATAGCGCCAAAAACTTACTAACTTGGCAAATTAACTTGGAATTTTTCATGTCGCAACATTGTCGACACCATGGACGGAGATGATGATGATGCTATTACTAGCTTATTATTCTGCTGTCGCCATACGACAAGGTACTGCAAAAAACGTTGTTTCGTGTGGAGGTGTCGTATTGGCTTGTGGTTAGCTTCAACCACTGGCTGAAGAAATATACACGTCATCCAATAACAACGTTAGAGTAATTTCATGTAACGTTTGGCCAAATGATTGTTGGAGCTGTGTACTTATTTGGAAGGGTTTTTATACTCGAGCGTTTTTGCGAATTGAGGAACATGAACATTACACAGCGAATAATTTATCATCGTTGATGACGAAGACTTATTATCAACACAAATCTGAATCTCTAGCTATCTATCTAGCTAAACCAATAAACGTTGGGTTTAGCAGGTAGTTGCTACTATTTTGTAAGGTATGTAATACATAATGTGCAAATTTTGAACGTTCTTGCTTGCATGCCATTATGAATGACAGATGTTGTTATGTGTACATAAAGAACAGGAAACCAGCACTTTTGTGAATTCTCATGTAAAACAGAATAGAATGACCTCGGCCCAGCGGTATGTAGTAGTCACTGGTAGTTCAGTGGAGGTTAATCTAATCTGCGATCTAGCATCTAAAACACTCAATGAGATTCATTCATAATTTGTCCGATTTTAATCCTAACATTAATGGTTTATTTTTATTTTTATCCTACACTACGTTTACTACTACTTGCCCCCTACAAAAATATGAGCCCTTCCATTGCAACGAAATAGAATGCAATTCTGGACGTGTTGGTTAAATTCATGATACCATTAACAACAACAACAACGAAGCAAATCCTTGCTCCGTGCAGTCCCCCCTCGTCCGTCCAACATTCAATCTAGCTCGTTTTCATATTATTACTATTCAGCTTTGCTGCTGCTACCCAGATTCGGTGGGATCGGATTTATTTGAGAGAGGGAACTGAACCACGGACGACCAGATCAGCCCGAAAGGGGAGAAATAAATAACGACCTATTCAATGCAGTCCCAACACCTCGTTGGAGCAGGGCGTAAAATAAATAAATGCTTATTTAAGGGTAGATGACTCATTCATCGGACATTAAACTATATACAATGTTAATCTGAGTCCAACAGGTCTAAGCAATAAGAGGACTTGCTTTCTTGACAAACTTTTTTTTAAATATCAACAAGTCACAGACGCAGATAAAACTTCTCTCTTATTCGTAGTTAGTTGGATGGAATTTTTTAAAGTTTATCTTCACACCACTACTACGACTGCCCAATGTATCACAATTTCATCTCGTGCCCTGTCTCATCAGAGAGGGAACTGGACATTGGACTGGCATTAGCATGAGTCTGACCACCCTAGTGATTGGTGGTGATCATGAATTTTATTAGTGGGATGAGTGCAACTTGGTATGTGTTTATATTTATCACTCTGAATTCTTTTTGCAACTGCATCACATACGTTGTGGCGATGATGATGATGATGATTTGCAACTTGAACTACCCAACTGAATTGCCCATTGTCATTGAGTATTGAACTAACCTTAATATCTCGGTGCACGACGCCAGCCTTGTGGCATGAGATGATGGTCTGGACAATCTGCTTGAAGAACTCTCGAGCCACTGTCTCCTCCAAGATACCTTTCTCCGTGATGTAGTCAAACAGATCCTTGACGGGCTCTGGTCGCTCCATGACAATGATGAAGCTGTCGTTCCTCTCAAAGTAGTCGAGGATCTTGATTACTCCTTCTACGTGGGCTACTTTACATAGAAGGTAGATCTCCAATGGGACTCGACTTCCGTTCAGCTGTAAAAAACATGGAAGTACAATTAGGAACAAAACTCGGGGTTTCTTCTTTGTATTAAGTGACAAGCGAGCAGGATGGGTAATGATTATTATTATTATTATTAGGTGATGATGTATGAGAGGAGTACGCAATGGGACATTACTGGACTTATAAAGGCATGGTGAGACGAGACGCCTACCTTTTTTTCGTCTGTGGATGTTTCAAAAAATTGGACCAGAAGCAACAACAGCGCACGTACCCCGTTCAAGTCAAATGATGAATGACTTTTGCGCATATGCGTATGTAGTCTGAACAAATCTTAGTTTTAATTTTGGCACTGGCATTCACATTCATTCAGACTAATTTCCTTGTCGAATTTCGAGTGTCGATTCATGCGCAAAAAATTCGCAAACTAAGCCGACTTCCTCTCATAAATTTATGCTAAATCTATTCTTGGCTCTTTGTGAAAACTATGTCATGCAGCTTTTTTTTATATATAAACCATCCATATGAGTCATGTTTAAAGTCGGCAATTCATGAAATGAACTCTGCTCAATAATAATTATTTGGCCGTGTTTCATAAACAAATATGAAAACAGAGAGCCAGGCTTGTTTTTTATATCGATCATAAACTTTTGTGCTGAGAGGTGAGCAAAACTAATAATTTAGCAAAAACTAAAGCATAGTTTTATTAAATGACGTGTACAAGTGTAAGTAGTTTCTTTAACTGTGTGCGTAAGTAAGTGGAGGAAGGTACACACTCATTATCCAAATGACAATGACAAACTACTAAAGTATGCAATATCAGCTTGTAATACAAACGGTTAAAGCCATTGTTATTATTATTATCGATCATGTTGGGTTGGTAAAGTTGATTTAAAATTCAGTTAATGTTTGCACTCGTCATGTTAATCCAAGTAGTGCGTAGTAGTGGCTCAGGAGTAAAGGCCACTCTCAAGGCAGTTTGAGAAAATTCATTATTGCTTCATGCATTCTTTAGTCTGCCAATAACTGTGCACCACTTTTCCAACGAGCAATATGCTGGCTATGAGCAAGTACATATACATATTCTAACCATATATGTAGTCGCTCAACCTACCATTAACTACCAACCCAATATATGTACATTTACATATTCATGTTTACCATGCCATACTATGAGTTTTGCTGATAATAATGATTTGATTATAACATTCCGCGATCTAGAATGATATACATTTTGATAATTCACAAAATTATGTTCTACTTTGCACTACGTTGGTAGTTTACTTTGGTAAAATAGAATGAAATAAATGCCTCAAATCGCCCAGATTATATATCTCTCCCATTGTAATATGAGTACGCGGTTAATAAATAATTATTTATGTTGCGTTCCGCAACATACGTAGAGCCAGGCAACACCACCAGCACTACATTAGTTAGCGTAACACCTTTGCTCCTCGTGCAGTTCATTCATTTTCGTAATACCTCGTTAAGTAAATATATACAGCCCTCACCAACCAAGGCATGTAAAACCAACCACCTACACACCAGTCTTGTTTATTCTTCTTATATTCTGATTTAAATTGGAAAAGGTGAATTTGAGAAACTGTTTTAGCACTGCTTCGTCAAGTTGACATAGGTCTAGACCCAACAATGAATACTTAAAACTCCTACTGAAAACTGCAGCACTACTATTGTAGGAACCAAGAGAAATCCGTTTATGCTTCATATCACATTACAGTACTTTGTATTATGCGAGGAGTGATGTGTGCATGTTGTGAGATGATCTAGAGTGGAAATTTAATGAAATTTCAAACATGCGAAATCTGAAGGTGTATCTCAAGTTTATCTAACATTACTAAATAAGCTCTTTTATCTAAAAGTTATGACAGTAAGTAGTTCACCACCAGTGTTGCACTATTGTATAGGCAAGTAAGCAAGCCATACAATTTTCATTCATAAACTTGTCTCGCTCATAACTATTAAATCTCGCCGTTGGTATGAGATGAATGAATTTGCATATGCTAAGCATTGTCCTGTTAGGAAATGGTTTGCAAAATTCAAAGGTAAACTTACGGGTCTCCATTCGGTGACTTTGGCCTTGGCCACGTGTTTGATGGCCACCTGAAATACATAGATTGTACGGAAATTAGCAATTAGTTTGACTCAATGTACCCCATACGACATGTAATGAGATGTGTAGTACACGGGTGAATGTGTGTGTGTGCAAGTCCAGGTATGATGGGACCAGAGGAAGAAGTAGAAGGGAGAGGACACAACAAGAGAACAGAAGGGACGGAAGTAAGAAAAGGGATCGCATGTAGTGAGTTAGCAGGGCCCCAAACCCTTCTTCCCTCCATACAATGCAATTCAACAGATCACTCTCTAACTCTCTCGTCATCTTCACCGTTTTGTGGCGGATCGTGGGAATCTAAACTTTTGAGACAAGCTCATCTCGAGAACGGTCCTTCTCCTTCTCTTAAATAAGGCAGACGGCCTCAACTGTATGCTCCACTTTTTATATCACAATTACATTAGGGCACATTCAATGAGGGATTTGAGCCACTTTCCCATCAGCTCTTCTCTCGTTCTCCATCTTTTAAATAATAATCTGTTCCATTTTGCTTCATTGTATCTGCTCTACTAAATTCCCTCTCAATTTTAAAATTTCCCGTAACTCTTGCAGTTATTTAATTAGCATTGAAATAAATAATAGCCATTTAAATGGTGCTCCCTCTCTCTCTCTACTTCCTTAAACCTTACGTCACCAGACCAACTACATAAGTTCGGGATAAACAACAGCATGCATACAACTTAGTGAGGAAAGTGGGTCATGTTCCCACACGAAATCGAGACAAGGAGGAGGGAGAGCAATACTACTACAGGAACTTGCAACTAAATAACTTGTATTTTATACTCAAGATCTAGTAGCAGTGTGCATATATCTGGTTGCTCAAGATATGACAGTGGCAAACAGGAAGGAAACGACAGGGATTGTTGACTGATTATAAATTGGATTTCCTACACTGACATGCAAGTGTTCTTGTTGTGTCACCACCACTAAATACCACTAAAGAGATTCTTCTGTTTGAAGTTGATAGGATTTGAATTTGGCCTGGCCCTGAACTAAAAAACTGTTTTGTTGTTGTGTTCTGTATCCACTAATTTCTTTTATCTCGTTATGTAAAATGAACCACAAGAGATGCACACTTACGGGAAGACCATCCCTCAGTCTAACTCCAGAGTACACGGTTCCGAACCCGCCTTGACCAAGGACTGGTCCAACACGGTAGGCTCGTTCAAAGGGCTCTCGGGACGGTATCACTGCAAGGAAAAAATTAAATCAAATTAAATCATTGCTATTTCACCATTTTTACAGCAAAGTCAATGCCTTCTTGTTATTTATGCAAGTGTCGGAAAATTTCCACACCAATCGAATGCATAACGAAGAAAGTGGGAAGAAGTATGCCTCTCCTACTTTCCTTGTACATACTTCATCACTTCCCGATTCACCCAATCATCCATCCAACTGAACTCGCTCTTGACATGAATGTGTTTACCAACACCACCAACCAACCAATATTTTACACACAGATTTGTTTACCAAGCAAGAGATATATGCTCCAATCAAATGCTAATATTTATAAAATTCCAACACACACACACACACACACATGCAGAAAGTCAGTCTACTTGGATTTCCATTTGGATGTCGATGTAAATATTAGTGCTCCATTTTCATACAGTGGTATTATAGCAGTGCAAGTATTATTGCTCATACATACGATTTGGATACACAGTTGCCCGAGTTGACGTTATGCATTTAGCGAGAAGAACAGAGAAGATTGAGGTCACACATGTATTCATACAGTGTTGTTCTGCCTAACTCGGTTGGGCATATTGCTGGCAACTAATAACCGTATTGATTCGATATCCCTTCTCAGTCAGATTGTCTCCAAAAAGCAATCCAATAATGCAATAATATTGACCAATAACTGAGCAAAACTTGGCAAACTAAAGTACTTGGTGGCCAAGTACATCATCATCCAAGGCCTATTTTGAATTCTGTAATATTAATCCATCCCGTTTTAATAGTTTTTGTTTTCAAGTTGAAAAGACTCTCAGTTGCACTTGCAATTCGCCCATCATGCATCTTTCTGAATGACAAGACAGGAGCAACTTTCATTTCCCTATTTACCTACGCATCAGATCTGTAAGTAGGTGGTGGTGGTGGAGGTGCTGTGTGTGTGGTTCACTTGTTCGCAGAATAACCATTCAACCATCTCTCCATTGTTGTTATGCAAGCTGGGATATGAAAAGCTTGTTCGACAAAACGAATGCAAAAATGTCTCACCTGCTTTTTTTAATACCAAGTATTTCTGCATGTTGCTGGTTATGTATTTCTTTAAAAATATTCACAAGTTTATCAAATCCGAACAGTTATGACTGACTCTTGATGCGTCAAGAATTCAACTGAATCTGATTTTCAACAAGTAAACATTTCATGAGAATACAGAACCAATAGCAAAAAGTCGTAGGAGGAGGAGTAAGGTAAGGTTTAGAGTAAGACAAATTTCCCTGTATGATGCAACATATTTAGCACGATTGAGATTCAGAGAAGTAACGATGACATCATCAACTTGCGGAGGAAAACATCCTGCCCAAGATGAGACGGCTAACTCATTACATCACGTCTCATCAGGATCCATCCAGTCATATCATAAAAACAACAACTGATATCTCAATTTCGTCTAACTGTACAGACCCTGCTTTTTACAGACACACCACCGTTTCATGTGTGGGCGTCAAGTCAGTTTCAAAGAATCGCCTCAACTAGTGCAACATGAAAATTTGAGACGAGTCTCAAATTCCTAATATTTTTATAAAACTGATGAATATTGGTCTGAATAAACTATTTATTTATCCAACATTAATCTGTCTATGCAGAGAGAGAGACGACGCAATAAGTTGAGATGAGAAAGTGTAAAGTTCATTTATGAGTGTTGAATTGCCCCACTGTGTAAATACCAACCAATTATTTCTGGTAATGCCCATCTCTCCACATTGAAGAGATAGAGATATGGCTGAGGCGTAATCCTCCTTCGTAGCCTGTTTGCGTCATCGTCATACATACTCAAAACAACCAACTTTGTCCCAGGAAAAACCTCCTTCACTTTGCACACAGGCTAGCTTAGCATAATGCTACATTGCTCAACAACGCATTGAATAGTGCATCATCATCATCATGAATGATGCTCATGATGACTATGCGAGTGAGCACCACACACAAGCATGCATACGAGACAGCTATGCTATATAATCTGTTGCTCAATTGTTTACAATCAATTACTGGTTGGTTTGATGATGATGATGATGATGAGAGCAACACTAGCTGGAAAAGTCCAATGCATTCAACGTTCATGAGTCACCTGTACACATATGCATGCAGTTCTATGAATGCAGATTCGCAATAACTGACCCAGACCCACTAGAGTAGTGCTAAGGCCCCACAGAAACATGTACATACGTACCATTATTTGAAAAAGAAGGGCAATGTGAAAAATGGCACTTTTCATAGTGTGACCATCCTACTCGTATTTTTTCAATGAATGGAATATGCATAGTGCAATATTGAGAACGTATTGCAGCAGTGTGTGTGATGCGATTTTCAAGTGGAGCGAGATGATATTATTACTATTACTTAATCTCAATCGCTTAGTCAGACATTCATCAATCAACATTGGGATTCCCCTATAATGTGTGGTACTTAATTTGAATAGGCCAAAAATCCAAGGAGATTATTGCATCAATTACACTCGAGTTGGTTGTCAGTCTCAAATATTATGGGATGAATTTTTGTATGAAATAAGTAGTAACAAGTGTGGAGAAATTACCAGTGAAAACGAATTCCTTTTCTTTAGGAGTGGAATTTTGGAGGCCAGATCCACTAGAACTGGAACTAGAACTGGCACTAGATGAGGAACTGGTGGAACCACTACCATTATTAGAACCTACGATGCTGCTACTACCATTATTAGACTTATCCATACTAACGTCGAAATCTGGTATACTGTTCGCACCAAACATGTTGGCAATGTTATTACAGTTATTAGAATTATTTGAATTAATAGCTAGAGACGACGGAATAGAGGTAGAAGTTGTGGAGGTGGAGATGGGGGCAATGCTGCTGCTGGCGTTATTAAATACACTAAGGTTTGAATTATTATTAGAATTTAGTTCCTTAAGGTTGGATGAACCTAGACTTCCGCAGGGAAGAGTGGTCGTCGTTGTGGTCGATGTGGGTGGTGCGAGAGGGGGGTTCGGCTGTCTCTTTGTCGACAACATTTCCACATAGTTTTTCATCAATTTTTTCTCCAATCGCTTACTCCTTCGGCAGGGAGTGGTGGAGGGTGCACACTTTGCACACTTTCTCCCAATTTTACCTCCTTTGCTGACACTCTTATGCTTGGCTGTATTCAAAAGCTCCGACTTTGATTTAGAGCTGATTACCACAAAGTCCAAGTCAAGGGGGAGCGATAAGTGATCCGTTTTAAAAGATTTTTGAAAAATCTTGACAAAATGAAGAAATTTAGTGTTCCACACTAAAGCAATGCGTGTTTCCTTTACGTATAAATACTTTGTAATAGTCGCAATAGAGTATCTGGTAGTGTACGAGTCTCACGACTACTGGTGTAGATTGAGATTTTTGTAAGATAAGGTTCCGTTCCGTTGAACTCAACTGAGGCGATGAGATACACTTTTTGATTTGGGAGTGAAAAGTCAAGTAAAACCACGAATGTACTGTGCAATGTCACACACTTGAGATTTTATACTCAAGATTTTTATGCTTCAAAATTGAGATTCTGTCAGCTTTCACAAACTTCGGAGGCTGCAGTTGTGAAGTCCACACAATGTATTATATTATGAGAGATGAGAAAATATTTTTCACTCCAAAACTGCACAAGAAAAACCAGTTTCCTTCGATGTTTGTATACAACTATTTCTATTCAGCTGCACACACAGTATATTTTTATTTGTATTACTATTTTACTGTTTAAGAGAATATCCAAATTCTTAAAATCGTCTCCTTTTTTTCAGTAAAATCCAGGAGGGTTATTTTCTCAAGTTATTTCAAACGATCAAGTTTGTCTCAACTTTAGAACTTGATAAGCACTCAAGTCACTGTATGTAATAAATATGTATTTGCTGTCTCAAAGTGTCTCAAAAGGATGCAAGAGGAGCGATGTCTTCTTGTTGACTGCAGATGGATAAATGAACTCGGATTTCCAGAGACATGAGAATTTCAGTGTATGAGTGGAATAGTTTTGAGTACTCACTTTCCCCAAACTGAGAATTGGAGCAAGTTTACGAGAACGAGAGAACTGATGATTTGTAGTGTTCAAGTAAGTAATATATTGTTCCTGGTTCAGAGGAACAAGAACAAGTGATGCTTCCCAAGCGGATGGACACCTTTTAATAGTATGTTTGTAATGTAGCGTATGTATTGGGTGACGCTATGTATTTTTTGGGTATCGATAAGTGAACTAATCGTATAATGTAATGTATTAGGAGATGTCAACTTGCGAATTTGACGTGATGTTGGATCGACGAGCGTAAAGAACCTCTCTCTGCAAGGTACAGAACGAAACTGAGTGCATAGCTTGGAAGTCCTTACACTTTGAGCGTCTAAACATTCAAGTATGTATATCCCAGGGTACGTTTGCCCCGAATGCATCCAATACCCATGTTAAGGAAATCCAATCCAATGTCTACTATGTGAATGTCTGAAAAACCCCCATCCTCACAGAATGAACATTACACGAAGGCGGCATATCAACGTGGCCAGTATAGCTGCTGCTGTTTCGTACCATTTGGGGGTATAGCGTCGTGGAAGAAGAAAAGATGCAGCTGTTCTGTGTGGGGGTATAAATTCTATGCTTTAATATCCTTTTTCCGTGGACATTGACCGACACTGCGCGAGGTACCACACACATTCTACTCCTCAGCATCTCTCCCATGCTCAGCAATTACCTCCACACAACGCCAGCGTCCTCCGCCTAGACTGGCGGGACGTGTGCCAATCAAGCCCCGGAGGTCACAGGGGGCTGAAATTTCATCAGAGAACTCGAAATTTTGAACGAAACCGTCCCCAGTTTTCCGATTTCCGAAATTCCCCCCACGGACAAAGTTATTCTGACCCAGACATCGGATTAGATGTCAGCGAGGAGGAATAGGGTTGTGAAAGGACGGCTGCAACCCCTTCCCTCTTTCGCGCTTAGGCATCAGAAGCAGCAGGCGTTATAGAGAGAGCTAGCGTTTGTATAAAAGATGGATGGGATTCTTCTCGTGGCCCCTCTGACGCGATACCACACACTGTAAGGATTTCTCTCTCTTCTATGAAAGAGTGGATGGATAGCAATGGTAGCTTTGGAACAAAAGAGGGATGGCGGGTCTCCCATTCAAGCAATATTCAAGCAAACGTTCGTTCCGTACCCCAAACACGTTGCGACGGGGCTATCCGAACCCCCCATCCTCGTGCGATCTCCACTTGGCGTCCCCAGACATATTGACAATCGACGTATATTATGCTCTTTTTACTACCACACTCCTTCTCCCACTACAACCACGCACACAAAACTTTTCATAGTAGTAAAGAAGCATCATGTGCCTCAGTTATACCCCGTGTGTATACACAAAAAGTGGGTATACTACTCCGAGGGCAAAACCCGTGCAATTCAAATTCAACTCGATATCAACAACGCCATGTGCAGTGCCATCCGAGATGAACCGCGCGTTGGTTGCATGCAGCCTTACTACTTACTTAGTTATTAACCTAACCTTACTACGAACGACTCCTCCAACAACATCCTTTTTAAAACCAAATGTTTTTCACCATGCATATACTTTTCTCTTCTCTCTCTTTAGCCTACGTAGCATTGACCAGAGATTTCTTCTTCCCCCCAACAACTCTTGCCTTGCTACTACGTGGATATAGCTTTATACGGATGCACCATCATAATAATAACACCGACGACCGAGAACAAAATTCCTGTCTCTCGCAAGTCTGCACCAAGCAATCCTTGGTCAGATGGATTCTCATCTTCTCCCGCGTTCTTTCTTTATACAACAACTAGGAACACATGCATGACATTGTACCCACAATATCCAGAGCGTTTAAGCACAAGGTAGAGGAATATACAAACGTATGAAAAGCAAAACTAGAAACCAAGGGGCAAGAAACCCCAACCGAAGCCATCCAAGCATCACAACAACCATCATCGTCATCAAGCAACGCTCCTCTCCGCGCTCACTCTCACCCCTGCTTGCCTGCATTCCTATGAACTTTCATGAAACTGACTAAGCGAAAGACGCTCTTTCTCACATCGCGTTCAGAATTTGGAATCAAGAGCACAAAAAACCATTCTTGATGATTTGTTCTTGCGGCGGTGCTGGCACATACGTGAGCCTTATCCATCCAGAGAGTAACTACACACATACGATTAAATACTCTCCGCTTCTTCTTCCATCCTCCACGATATTAGTAACAAAAAGAGTCACTGACTGGAGAGATGGGAAAGTACACCACCAAAAGTATAGTGGATCAAGTCGTGTTAATAATGCTGCTTCTGCTCTCATGTGGTCGTACACACACAGATGATACAGCATAACATCATATCCGTCCACCAAATTTCAGCCCAAACTCTTTTTCATCATTACTCATTGTTTGGATTCTTTCATGAGCAGGGTACACATGATGAGGTCTTTATGCTCAAGAAACATGGCATTTTCTTTCTCTATGGTATAATTTGTACTTTTCTATATATTCTGTTTTCTTTGCCCGCCACACCACCACCACTCGAGACCGCTACGCCAGAGATTGCAGTGATCTTCATGCATGAGCTTGGCTAAAAGTGAGCTACGTACAACTTGATTCAATACTATTCTTGGTAGTGCAGGGTAGAGTTTTTAGAGATTCTTGACGTAATAGTCAATAGTAATAGTAAGTAATGCATGCAGTTGTTGGCTGTGGTGGTGCATTGCATCACCTCACATTCCTTGATTCCTCGCGTCTACAAATAAATGCATCTTGTCGAAAAGGGAGAGAGCCAAGTAATCTCGAGGGACGATAGGCTCAAAGCATTTCGACTACATGTGGACTTGAAATTCTTTTTATTTTTTGCTTTACCTCCACCACCACCAAGAACCAGCATCCCGCCACAACGTTGCAGCAGCGGTAACATAACAACAACGTAGCGTCTTCTCGCATGGTCTTCTTACTACGATGATGACGACGACGATGCTTTTATTATTTCCCAGCATCATCGTCGCTCCTAACAGCTCAAGCGAACCTGGGCATCTTCTTGGTGTGGGGTTATTGAACACGAAGACTGCAACACGCCATTATCAACTAAAAACCAAGAAATGGTGCACCGCCTTCCCGCCACGCCACGCCACGCCAATAAAGGTATCGAGCAGGTGAGCGTTCTTTCTTTCTTGCATTGTGAGTGTGCATATAACCAGGATTGTGCCTATGTTGCAGGGATTTCTTTATATGCACAACAACTACAATCCGCTACATTCTTATGTAGCAGGCTCTTCTACACCTTGGAGTCTACTTATTGGAAAGGATAATTAACGATCAAATAAATTGGCTATTTACATTAATGAAGTATTTCCGCTGTATTTCAAAACTATTATTTTTTTTCTGAAAAAAACAGTCATGCACTTCTTTCACACTTGTGAGTACGTTTCCTACATGAAAAATTAACTACGGTGCATGCGTTATGAACAAACTGGAGGAAATGAGACACATGCACCACGAGGCACACACTACGAGTTGCATTTTCAATCCAAAGTGTAAATGTCCAACCAAACCCTTGTGATTGAGCATCTCGAAGAATTTTGTGGACAAAAAAGGCTGAGATCTCATCTTCGAATCGCAGGCGTGCATCCATACTACTAGTCTCAGTTTAACAACAAGTAGATGCATGTGGCTTAGTTTTGGTTGGATTTGGATTGGATGACTGACTGCATTTTGAGTGAGTGATGCATGATGCAAGCAGAGGAAGGCTTTACTTATTACTGCACACACTGGCATAATGGTTCAACGTAGCGCCAGTCACTCAGTCAGTGTAGCATTTATCTTATGAGATAACATAACAAAACATTGCATAGTAAAACAGTCCTGCTTTTTGTTCCGTAAACGTCGTCTGCTGAGATTCAAAAAGTTGGTTGTTCGCTAGTTGTACATGTGTAACCTCTTCTCGATCCTCTCTCTCTCTATCTATATGCACATACGGATCTCAATCTGTTGTATTATGCATTGCCGTCCAAGGTCTCCCATTTCCTTTCCAGACTGACTTCACCATCCTCCTGCTTCTTCTTCTTCTTCTTCTGAGAGATCTGTGGTTTTGTTATGGTATGCTAAATTCTGAAATGGTGATGGATACGACGACGACGACGCGTCCATGCTCGAGATCCGTTTTCATACGTGGTCACCACACCACCACGATTACCCTCTCTCACTCTCTCCTCCAGGAGGTTGCGATATGTGCATGGTTCCTTAGACTCGTCGCTTTAGGCCTCCTCCTTCTTTCCATATATATATATTCCCATATTCGACCAAGATTTTAATGTCTGAGAAGACGTAAACTTTGGAAAGCTTGAATATTCCTTACTTCAAAATAGTCTGCACTTGTAGTTTCGAATTCCATCAATGTTGCAACAGCCTCCAGCCAGCAGCAGCACAACAACCCTTTGATGCATCCTTGCATACAGCCCATTTCCTTGTTGTCTCATATACCGCAGATCGTGGTACGTAAATATTTTCATTGTTTGTCATATGCATAAGACGCCCATTTTCAGAAGTGTAACAAATTCGAACAATAGCAAACACAAACAATTACATTTGGAGATATTCTCAGAGTAGAAGTATTCCATCACGAGGGGCAAATCGGAAGAAAAGGAAGAAGAATATAATCAGGAATTGCTGATTTGTTCCAGGCAGAGCCATTTTTCGGTACAGTCACGATGGAGGAGTACTTAATAAGACACAGTGGTCCACGTGCACGATGATACAGTGATAAGTGAGCATGTAAGAATTAGAATAGTTTTCTCTGGAATAAAAATAATTGTGTGACTCGGCCTGGTTTCGGTTTGTCTGGAATTAGAATCGTCCCCAGCGTCTCTCAACCCAGCCGAGTCTAGATAACCATTTACATCACACATCTAAAACTTCCTCCATAATACTCTTGCGGTCTGGCTTGTCTAAAGTTTTCTAGACGCGAGCGGGTCCTTAAGGACATAAGTTTTTTAAGTAAGTAACTGTAGCTCTTAGCTTTAGCTAGACCACACGGTGTTGGACACACAATGATATGCAACTTAATACCACCACCACCATCCCACCGCCTTTTGAATTTATTTTTAAAGTCAACCCTGAGAACGATCAAAGTACACCTTTAACATGAAGTCAGTCCTCAAGGGTTACAATAATGTAATTCGTGAACCTTCGTCGTCCTTTGAGTGTTGCTCTTTGATTTAGCCGTCTCATGAGAAAGTGTACAATATATCTAAATGCATATTCTTATGTATTTATACATATGTGAGCTGTTGTCCCCTCTCTATACGCACAATCGCATTGAGTAATGTGTAA